GGGCCCTGGGGGCCGTGTGTTCCGATTCATGGGGAGTGTTGAGACCACCACACCAATAAACGCCTTTTTCCAAAGTCTCCGCCTGCGGGTGTCAACGTCATTGAAGGATTCGGGTGCGGGGAGGTCAAAGGGTCATGGCCATCGGTGGTGCCCCCCAGCATCACTTCCGCTGTCTCCTTTCTCTTGGGGAGATTTGGAATTGGCCTGGCACCGAGTAGAAGGCCCAGAAAAACTAAGCCCATGGTGACATCATTTGAGCTGCTGGATCAAACCGTACCTGATACCCACCTTCACTTACACAAGCGAAGTCCCCTGTATGTTTAAGCCAATTTGTGTTAGGTTTTCTCTCCTTGGTGATCAAAAAGGAAATGGCAACTCTAAGTGATATAAAAGAAGAGCTAAGGAGGGTCCAGGTACCCAGGACTCCAGCCCTCAGCTCTTCAACATGAGGCCTATTTCCCAAAGGCCTCTTGCACTTCAACCTTTAACCAGAAGGCCTCACCTCCTCTCCTTCCCTGAGGCAGATGCCAGTGGCCTGTGCTTTCGTTATGTGCTTCCTCTTTCTCTGCCGGCAGACCCTCCTCCCATGATACAGGCAAGATGTTTGGTTTCACTCCCTTGCATGAGTGATACACCCAGTTCTGGGTCCATGTGTTTTCTGTAGGGTTCAAAAAAGCTTTGCCCCAGCCCTAGCTGGTTTGGCTCAGTGGATAGAGCGTTGGACTGAGGACTGGAAGGTCCCGGGTTTCATTCCAGTCAAGGGCACACGCTCGGGTTGCTGGCTCGATCCCCAATAGAGGGCGTGCAGAAGGCAGCTGATCAATGGTTCTCTGCTTTCATTATGCGCTTCCTCTTTCTCTGCTGGCAGACCCTCCTCCCATGATACAGTCGAGATGTTTGGTTTCACTCCCTTGCATGAGTGATACGCCCAGTTCTGGGTCCATGTGTTTTCTGTAGGGTTCAAGAAAGCTTTGCCCCAGCCCTAGCTGGTTTGGCTCCGTGGATAGAGCGTTGGACTGTGGACTGGAAGGTCCCAGGTTCCATTCCAGTCAAGGGCACATGCTCAGGTTGTGGGCTCGATCCCCAGTAGGGGGCATGCAGAAGGCAGCTGATCAATGGTTCTCTCTCATCATTGATGTTTCTATCTTTCCCTCTCCCTTCCTCTCTGAAATCAATAAAAATATTTTTTTAAAAAAGAAGAAGAGGAAAGAAAGCTTTTCCCCACTCAGGAGAGCAGGCGAGGAGAGGTGTGTGAGAAGAGAGGCCTGCCCCCTTCTCTTTGCCTTTAGACACAGTTGCGTGAAGACGTGATGCCTGGAGCCACAGCAGCCATCTTGCTACATGAGACAACATGCCGACCCGCCGAGGATGCAATAAGCCCGGGTCCTTGATGGGGTCCCTAAGATGCCCCACCAGCCTAAAACCACCCACATCCATGATTCTTACCACCGTTTATTTTGTTAATTGCGGCCAAAAGAATCTTCACTGATGCACCCCTTCATTTCCAAGGGAACCCCTGCTGATAAAGGAAGGCATGGTGCTGGGGAGAGCAGCAGCCAAGCCAGCCCTTCACTGGCACCCACACATCTGAGCAGTTCACCTATATTTATTGACTAGAGGCCTGATGCATGAAGATTCGTGCAAGAGTGGGCCTTCCTTCCCCTGGCTACCACTCCGCCGAAGCCGCCTTTCCACCTTCTCACGCTGCCCAGAGGCCCAGAGCAGCTGGCGCGGTGTCACAGCGACAATGCCAGCGTCCCGCCCTGCCCCTGGCCGCTCAGCGCCTGTGTATGCAAATTAACCTGCCATCTTTGTTGGGTTAATTTGCATACCCGCCCCTGATTGGCTGGTGGGTGTCGCAAAGGTACGGTCAACTTGCATCTTTCTCTTTTATTAGTGTAGGTTGCCTGCTGTGTGCCAGGCTCTGTGTGAAGTTCTGGGGATGATGACATGGTCTCTGTCTCCATCCACAGAGCTCTCGGTGTAGAGAGGGAGTCAGAGGCTGAACAAGTAATGATGTGTCTACGGATGAGAAGCAGAAGGTGCAGGGTCTCCAGGGCCTAACCCATGACTGAGGCAGGGGTTAGACCAGTGATGGCGAACCTATGACACGCGTGTCAGAGGTGACACGCGAACTCATTTTTTTGGTTGATTTTTCTTTGTTAAATGGCATTTAAATATATACAATAAATATCAAAAATATAAGTCTTTGTTTTACTATGGTTGCAAAGATCAAAAAATTTCTATATGTGACACGGCACCAGAGTTAAGTTAGGGTTTTTCAAAATGCTGACACGCCGAGCTCAAAAGGTTCACCATCACTGGGTTAGAGGAGCATCTTCTGAGATGGGAACGGTCACCTTTATGCTTGAGAAACGTACCACACAAGAGACAGAGCCATGCTCCACACAGAGTACACGCTAAGGGCAAAGGCCCGGAGGCACAATAACATGGCAGAGAGAGGGCCTGTGCCACTGGAGGGGCCGGGGAAGGATTGGAAGTGGGGGGGTCAGAGAGGCCAAGGGAGGTCAGACCATGAGGTTTTGAAGGTCATGGCGAGGCATTTGGACACATCTGAAGGGCAATGAGCAACCAGATAAGGGTTGAAAGCAGTGGTTCCCAATGTGGGACACATGCCTCACGGGGGGGGCGGGCAATTTGATTTTTAAGGGGGGGGGGGGAATTTGGGAATGAGTTATTAACAGTTTTTAACAGTTATTAACAATTTTTTGTATTTCTTATGGTTCTAGGGGCCTCATATACAGTATACAAATATGTATGGTGACATATTTATGCACTTCAGTTCTCTAGTATATGTTTTGAAACTTTATTTGCTATTTTTTCATATATTTCCTATTATTATTATTTTTTAAACAATTTCTTAATAATGTCTTCCTCCGTACTTCAACTGTCCTTTCGTTCTTTTATCTTTCTCTTTCACGGATGCCATGTTCTTTGGAATCTTGTTTAGACCAAGTTAATGGCCTTTCAGGCTTCCTCTATGTGAATAGGAGCTCACTTTTTGAATAATAAGAATTCTATGTTACGGGGGTGGTGGTGGGGCATCAGGATTTTAGAGATGCTTAGGGGGGAGTGTGGCCAAAAAAGGTTGGGAACCACTGGTTTACAGGGAAGAGGACATGTGGTCTGGTCTGTTTTAAGATGCAGACTCTGGGAGCTGGGTGGGCATGGCCTGGGGGAGGCAGAAGTGGATGTAGGAAGACCTTTTCAGGGATGAGGTGGGGCCCCCTCTCTGACTCAGAGAGGCACAGCAAGCCCCCCTGTTCGCCGCACAGCCCCCACATCTTGCCTGCTTGGTGGTTTGCAACCACACTGTTAGATCCTCGGGAGTCTCCTCAAGCCCTGAGTCCCACCTCCTTTGTTGCACAAATACAGGCAGAGTCTTCTCAGGTGAGAGAGGGAGACAGGAAGTCCCACTTTCAGAGTCTGGCCTTGAGTCACAGTAGGACAGGAGGCGAAACAGGAAGTCTTGCCCAAAAAGTCCTGCACAGAGCAGGCCATTCGCCTGGTCACACCTGTGTGGCTGCCCGGACCGTCTTCGGGCCCCCACCTGGGGAGATGACTGGGCTGGGGCTGGTGGCCTGGAAGAGAGAGGGGGGAGAGGGGGACAACCTCAGGAGTTATCCTGCACATGACATGGCTCACCCTTTTCTAGCACTAGCTCTCATTATTCAGAAATTAGCGGGGTTTCCTCCACTGACGAGGAATACAAAATGTCTAGCCACCCTTGGGAGGGAGGAGACATGCAACTTTACTGGGAAAGAGAAATTCCGTCCCACTTTTGAGAGAAAATGGAAGTTTGGCCCATTTTTATGGGGAAAAAAAATAAAGGACGTCCCATCTTACTCCCTTTGTGGGGAAAATCGGAATGTCACGCTTCTTTTAAAATACATGAAGCAAGCATGTCAAACTCGCGGTGCATAACGAATATTTTTGTGGCACAGCCAATATAACCGTATGTAAGAAACGTTTTAATAAAAATTTCGTAACTTAATTTTTACAATATCCTGTTATACATAATTATTAATAACGAACGACAACGTTCGCTAATGACTGATGACTATAATCGTGTTGCATTCATTTCCCTTACGCGCCTTACACGCAGGCGCACCATTTCTCTCCACTAACACCAACAGCCGATATTCTAGCAGCCGACGGCCACTTCGCTAGTCTTGGACTGACTTGTTGGGTGTGCACAACAGGAAATATTTCGCTTTCGGAGAACAAGAAAAATGCATTACACTTATTAATTTGTGCAGTGATTCAGTGTCTGGTAAGCTAATGTTCAAGAAAAAATGTTAATTTTTATTAAAATGTTCTTTTCTTATATGTTAACAATGACTCATTTATTTCAGCCCTTTGCATTCAGCACGTCTCTATCGAAATAAACCCACGTGTCTATGAAAATGGAAGCTTTTGGGGTTTTTTTGCGGCCTCAAAGACACTGACACCTTGTTTATTTGGCCCCTGTTAGCCTCTGAGTTTGACACGCTTGACATAAAGGTTGGATGGGAAGCCCAGTCCAGCCTTTATATATTTTCAAAAGGATAACATTTTACCAGGATTGTGAAACTGCAAACGAGGAACGCTGCGGGAAGAGAACTCAGGCCATTTCATCTCCCTGACTAAATAACAAAGAAATTCCACACTCACTTGGTGGGGCCTGGTCGGGCTCGGGGCCTCCAGCGGGACTTTGGGGGGCAGAGGCTGTGGAGTCTGCACTGGGGCCACGCTCTGCATCTTCTTTTCTGGTGGGGAGATCACAGGGGCAAAGGTGGGGAGATGCTTCTTTTTCTTGGGAATCGCTCCTGGAAAAGAGAGAGGAAGAAAAAAACAAAACCAAAAAAACAGAAACATGTGATTGGCTGCCCCAGCATCCCAACCCAGCCGATGGAAAGGGAAGCTGGGGGCTGAGAGGTGGAGCCTTGGTCTGATTGGCTGATAGGGCCCTGTAACCGTGCTGATTGGTCCAGCCAGGCCCCCAATCGGGTTTTACCTAGGGACCCTTCCTGTGGGGCCGCTCACTCACCCCGAAACCTGCGCAGGCAGCAGATGCACAGGAGGAGAAGGGCTGCCAGGAGCGCCAGGCCCAGGAGGGAGCCCAGGACGATGCCAGCGATGGCCCCGGGGCCCAGGGTGGGATCTGGAGGAGACAGAAGGAGGACAAGGAAAGTGAGAGCCAGGGCTTGATCTGTTTCCTACGTCCCCTGCCCCAGCTCTCAGAACCCAGGGTTCGGGGACCCAGCACTCAGTTCATTTAAGGTTCACTCAGGGACTGTGGGTGCCCAGCATCCTACCACGTGACCAAGACCCATTGCTCAGCAAACCCGAGATACCTACTCTCATGGGGGTTCATTTTAGGAGGAAAGTCAGAAGTGAATGTGCAAATAAATAACATAATTATATGCCCAGCCGGGTGTGGCTCAGCTACTGAGCATCAAACCGGAACCAGGAGGTCACTGGTTCGATTCCCGGTCAGGGCACGTGCCCAGGTTGCGGGCTGGCTCGATCCCCAGTAGGGGGCGTGCAGGAGGCAGCCGATCGATGATATTCCTCTCTCAGCTCCTTGATGTTTCTAACTCTCTATCCCTCTCCCTTTCTTTCTCACTAAAAATCAATAAAAACATGTGTGTGTGTTTTTTTCTTAAATTGCCAGGCACTGTCAGAAGCTGGAAGAGGCAATCAGGGCTTCTACCCAGGGACCCTGAAGGAGCAGGGCCCAGCGGACCCCTTTATTTTTCGTGGCCTCCAGAGCTGTGTGAAGATATGTGTCTGTTGTTTCAAGCCACCTAGTTCATGGTCCTTTGTTATCGCAGCCTCAGGAAACGGTTAAAGGGAGAAGGAGAATCCGAGGAAACAGGCAGAGGGAGGCAGCCAAGGAGAAGGCTCGGACAGTCCCAACTCACCCGCATTGTAGACCCGGCTTTGGGATGGGGTGCCTGGCCGGGCCCCCAGGGTGGGCAGGATACGCAAGGCCCAGGTCCCCCGGTTCTGAGGAGGGAGGGGCACCACGGCCGATCGCTCCTGAGGCCCCAGGATGAGCAAGGAGACCCAGTCCTGGTAGCTGATGGCTCTGCCCGGGTCAGGCCCCTCCGGCCGGGCCTGGATCTCAAAACCACTGATCAGGGCCCCGCGCTCCACATCCCAAGTCAGCACCGCGGCGTCCTGGGCTCTCTGCAGCCTCCAGGAGGAGATGGCCGGTCCTGGGGGGATCAAGGTGGGGGGCGGGATTTGTGGGCCCTAGAGGGGAGAGGGAAGGGGGCTGCGGGCCTGGACTAATAGGTCTCAGGGGAAGAAGGTCCGAAAGGGGATGGACTCCTGGGTCTGAGGGAGGAGGGGCTGGGGGCCTGGACTTCTGGATTCTGGGCAAGGACAGAACTCACCAATGAGGGTGATCTGGTCGCCCCCAGCACCCAGCACCCCACTGCACAGCACGGAGTAATTTCCGAGGTCCCAGTCCAAGCTGAAGTTGCCAATGAGGAGCCTCCGTCCATCCTGGCTGAGCCTCAGGCGCCCCCCGCCGCCTCCGGAGGCCAGAGGCCGCCCTTCCCGGGCCCACGATGCTCGC